ATATATATATATATATATATATATATATATATATATATATATATATATATATATATATATATATATATATACTGTATATTCTAATTAATATGAAGCTGATGACTTTAGTCTAAAAATATAAAATTAAGGGATGATTTACTGTAGGATACAGACCTTTTATCACAATGAAGGGGTTTATTGTAGGGCCACATTAATCAACTTGCTACACTCTTACTTACCAAATCAATAGAATAAACAATTGATTGGAAATTATCAGTGTTTGGACTCGCATTGTTCTCCATCTGCAACAGATAACTCATTTTCTCATCATCTAACTTTTTATAACACATTTTCTTACCACTAATATTCTAACAATGCCAGGTATTATGATTTCTATATTCCTCTCTGAAAAATCAAACTGAATGTTCACCCACAAGCTTCATCTTCACTAGACAGTGCTCTACTCCCTCCCAGCTATGACCTCTGTCAAGTCTCTCTCTATTTTGGTTAAAGGTCAGTTGTTGCCTTCAGGTGTGTAGTAAATAACATTCCCAATAACTGTTAGAACAGCTGATGCTCTAATCACATTACAAAACAACAACAAAACCCTCTACACTGCACTATAGGGTGTGTTTGTTGTGTCAACTTATCTTTGAAGAATCATATGTAGCAAATAAAGAAAGTGTGCATGCATACAGTAGCACACTAGATTTGTGTTTATTTCCATTTTGTGCATTTCATTTGGTGTAAGTTTATTTTTCTCAAAACATGATTTAAATATAATGAAATATTTTTGGGATAAAATAATACTTTTATTCAGCAAGGATGCATTAAATTGATGAAAAGTGACAGTAAAGTTAGTTATAATGTTACAAAACATTTCTATTGGAAATAAATGTTGTTGTTTTTTTCAACTTCTGTTCACCAAAGATTCATGAAGAAAACGTATCAGTCTCCACAAAAATATTAGGCAGGACAACTGTTTTCAACATTGATAATAATGGTTGTTGATGAGCACCAAATCAGCATATTAGAATGATTTTTGAAAAATCATGTGACACTGCAGACTGGAATAATGCTGCAGAAAATTCTGCAGTTGTTACAATTTTAATTATTGCAATTTTAAATTGCAATATTTCAAAAGATTACAGTTTTTTCTGTATTTTTAATGAAATAAATACAGTCTTGGTCAGAATTAGAATTCTTTAAAAAAGCACCTTATAAAATAATACTTTTGAACACTAATATCTAAAACAAAAACAATAAAACATTCAAACCTATACATGGAGAGATAAAAAGAGATTGCCTCTCAATGGCATTTAGCTCTGAATCTGAAGGTTATGCGAATTGTTGTGGCAGATATTATGTTATGTAACACATAGTGGCTTTGAGTTTGTTTTTTTGCTGCAATGCAAATCTTAAATGTAATAGCAATCTGCAAGCACTAGAGGGCGAGAGAAGCCTTCACATACAAATTAGAAGTAGGCCTGCATTAAGATCTGAACTTTTGAGTTCAGCTTCTGTGGTGTCCATGGAGATAGACTAGACAGAGCTCCCCTGTTGTCTGACAATTTCCTGTTCTCTCTTCAGCTGCTCAAAAAAGATTCATAGAACTACCTACACATCCGTTTTTATTAAAATGTCAAGAGGAAGCCTTCATCACAGTGCTTTCTTTACAAGATTCAGCTTCAAGTGTATATGGCAGAAACCAGTGTTTCACAGAATTCAGAAAATTCACCAGGGACAATGGATCCTCTTTCTGTAAGTTTCATTGACTGGCATCTCTGCTATTCTGTGGGATGTACTGCATATCACAAGCTAAGAAGAAAAAAATGTCCAAGTGCGTAATTTGAATAGCATTGTGAAATCAGCACCTATTTGTCTATAAAAGCATAAGACACGCTTTATTACTGAATCTCTGCACACCGAATGGAGATGTAAATTAACACCTACTTCTAGATAGATTCAAAATATTTTAATAACCTAAATGGGGGAAAAAAACAATGATATAGCTAATTTAACACTCACCAAGCCTAATATTTGCATATGCCTTAAAGCTATTATTAAAAGACAAGCATGTAACATGTGATTTTGAGCACTGCATGTTAAGTGAACACAGCATACGGTACCAATACTGTAGGGCATGTTAAAGCATGTGTCAAACAAGATCAATGTCAAGTTTGGTGGTGATTGACTAGGATCACAAAGACAGGTAAAGGAATAGTTTACTCAAAAATTCTGCCATCATTTACTCACCCTCAAGTTGTTCCAAACTTTTTGAGTTTCTTTGTTCTGATGAACATAAAAGAAGATATTTTGAAGAATATGGGCAACAGTTTCTGGACCCTATTGACTTCCATAGTATTCTCTAATGTGTACTCTAATGATATGATCGCTGTTTTGAGTAAGCATTGAATATGGGGGCAAAATTATGTTTGTGGTGGTTGACAAAGGTTGAGATCACTTTAACTGTCATTCTACAGGTCCATATACAATGCATAGAGTAATACTCCATTATGCGTCATCAGTTTGTATGAAGGATAATGCTTCCTGCCTCCTTGCACTCTTTATCCCCCACATGTCACTTGATTCAGTGCCAGTCTAGTGCCCGGTGTGCCGACCTCAATAGGGCTTTGTAAGCGCTGCCATCCTGGTCTCCCGACCCACCCCCAGGCAGCTGTTCATGGGTTCCCATGATTCCGCCCAGTTGGCTCTGGTACAATATGTGTCTGTCAGTGGCACCTCATTGGCATGCACTGGCACACGTGCACAGACTATGTCTCAACCAAGTGTGCCCACTCACTGTGCTTTCCAGAGACAAATCGGTTTGCACTGGGCACCGATTCGAACTTTCTAAGACTACCCTAGATTCATCAAATATGAACGCTTATATAGTGTATAAACGCAAAACTTTTTAATGTTATTTATATATAGATAAAGAAAAAGAAAACTAAAATGATGATGTTATATAATATTATATTTAATCATTCTTCAATGTGCTTATCCCATTTAAGGTTGCAGGTGTTTTATTATATTATATTATTATATTATATTATTCTCCAAACCACTTCTCCTATGTAGGGTTTCAGGTGTTTTATATTATATGATATAAGAATATAAAATATGTACATTACACTGAGAAATTTTTTTTTTTTGCTGGATCTCTGGAGGATATAATGTAGATATAATGTAAGGAGCTACGTATGAATGTATGAATCTGCCCTTCCCTTTGTGAAAGCATCCACATCCCTCCCTACACGCCCAGGCTCAACTCCCCCCCCCCCCCCCCCCCCCCCCCCCTCTCTCTCTCTCTCTCTGTGATGAAGGAGGAGGGACCTGCTCTTGTCGTGAGCTACGTGCAGAGTTCACATCTACCACCAAATATCTCAATCGACCATCCCATGAAGACGTAGCCTATATCAGGAGCGCGCACATCTCACTAGTCTCAAGCAATCTGGAGAGCGAATTTACTTTCTGTTTTACTAGCATCTGTGAGCTTACAACCTGCGATGCTTGTGTTTATACGATTATTGATTTGTTAATAATGCGTACGGATTTGAGCACATTTAAAGGCTTGATTTGATTTATTTATGGTCCGTTGTTAGAAGAAGGTAGAAGGTGTGTTATATTGCGGAGGCGCAATTTGAGCTCTTTTATCTGTTTGGGTTTGTGATCGAGCAGGAGGGAGGAGTGGCGAAGAAACGGCTGGTAAGTCCATAATACTACACCTCCACATGAGCAATAAATACATACATCATGTGGTTGTTGCACTATCATAAACAGACATTCTTCCTTGGCAGTGTTTATTCCTCGAGTGCACCGATTAAAGCGAGACCCTTAAACCGAAAGTTAAAAGACATTAACCGTCTTTTAACGTTGTAGACTCCGTTAGCCCGCTGGTTAATGTGTCCGAATCGTGAGTGAATCGTTCATTTGAGTCGGATCCCTGTAATGCTTCGGTTGAACCGTTCCACAAAACACCGGTCTTTTAGGAATCGTAATTAATCGATCCCTACGGTTCGTGATTCGACATCTCGCCGACTCATTGAGCAAGACCCGCTTCTTTCGAAAATGTCCTATTCATAATCCGACTTGGATTATGAGTCCGAGGATTTGGATTGAACCAAGCATTTCACTGAGGGGACGAAAACTATAAAAGTTACTCTAATGGCCAAATAACTTGAATATTAACGTTACATATAAAATGTACTGGAAATATTGTAAAAATGTGTTGACGGCTATATCAACAAGCCTTGGCTTTAATAAATATGATTTTATTTGGGCGTGAATACACTTTTCAGATACATAGAATTAGATAGAATTAGTAGTTTAATGTATATGCATATTATATTTAAATTCTAAACAAAATGTGCGATACATGCTACGTGCCTCAGCAGGCTGTTAGGGACCCTGGGATGAAGCAAAGACGTCATGGCGTAAAATAACGTTGGATCCTTTTTAAATGATTCTTTGAAACGAACTGTTCGAACGAATCGATTCGCTGAAATGAGTCGGATTCCCCTATTATGTTTAAGATAGCAGAACAGATATTGAGCACCGGAGCGGCGCGGCACGACAAATCCCCGACACTAAACTGATCTATGACTAAAGTTTAAATGATTTGCAACGGTCGCTTTGTCGCGTCAAGTGTAGACAGACTTTAGCTGTTGCGGCGCGACACGAAAATTGTCGCGTCCGTTGTAGACACGGCGTTTAATGTCGCTAATAGGCGTATAATGTTCATGTTAATTACAATTAGACATATATGCTTCTGCTTTTACAAGCAGAGCGCATTCATTACTGTGTATAGACGGAAAAACACCGCCTACTATCAGCCCGATACAAATAGGCTATAACTAATGTATTCAGCAGTGGTTTCACTGATTGAATGGAACTCAAACGGGTTTACCTCTGAATTTGAGCAGTATTGGCGCCTTTATTTGCTGTGTCTGCCACTGCGTCAGGGTTTTTTTCCTTCTGAATGCTCGTTCATTTTCGTTCACGTGTGGTGTCAAACTTCTCGACGTCATGATTATAATAAAAGGAGGCGCGAGAGCAGAATGTTCGAGGCGCGTGCTGGCCTGACCCCAGCTGTTTGCTTACCACGTGCTTCTGTTACGCAAAGTAAACACAATAGTAGTAATCTGTGCACTATAAACGCCAGCGCTGGGGAATGTTTAGTTATGGTACACTGAAACTTGATTTAAAGTTGCCTTAAGTTGAGATATTGCATGACAAAATGCTTAAGCATACTTTCATTTGGTAGGCCTATCCAGGGATAACCCTGTATTTTGGGTCTTACTTTTTAAAAACTCTTCTTCTTAGTGCATAAAGCACATTTTAGGTTAATTGACCAAATATGCAAAGTGCACATGTAAACTTTATATTATAAAGAAATCCAAACCACAGCATTCTTCTTAATTTGTCATGGCAAGATATTTTGTTTACTTTAATTGCATCCCTCACTTCATCAACCAGGCAGGTCTGGTCTCTGGTGTAATACACCGAGCATATGCATGCTGTTTTTTTGACATGTACGGCACGTAATAAGAACTAATCAGGAACTTGTTTTTGTGCACAATGTCCAGAGATGTCAGTTTGCCTTATGCCATCCTGGCTGTTTGGTATTAGACAATGAAAATAACAGCCCCCTATGGTGTAGAGGTCAGCTGTGTGACCTTATGTAGAGCAGTGTTCAAAAACTATAAACATTTGCCTACAGCTCACTGTTAAAAGCAGTTTATTCAGGGGCAACTGACCCTCCAATCCATCTGTTTTCACTATGTGTTTAGTTTATTTCAACATGCTGACATTTAAAACCAAAGTGGTCATTTCTCATGTTTCTGCTTTGTAATGCAGTGTACAATATGCTTGTATGATGCTAAATGCTTATGATTTACTTAAATTCAGGTTTTTCTAATATAACTTTGAGGTTACTTAACATGCAAATGAGCTGTTGAACCTAGCCTGTCTTTGAGTTGTGCACAATGTTTATGAATAGTTTTACACATGCCAGATATGACTCATGGGTCATTTGTGGTAAGTGTAGTTGATTCCAATTATTCTTAATTATTATTATTATTTTCTTTTGATAAGACCGGAAATTGTTTTATTCAGGTAGAATATGTGGAAACACATTCTAGCTAGTGAAGCGATTCGTCTTCAGCTGGATTTGCATGTTTGTTACCCTCAATACTTTTTTGTAAAAAAAAAAAAGTGTTTCAAAGACACAGATGTGAATTAGTCATCATGTTTTGCAGGCTCCTGAATTCTGAATCCTGCCTAAAATCCACAAAGATGATATATCTGCCAGTGTAAGTCTTAATATAATGCTTTACAACATATTTGATAGTTGAGTTCAAGTTGTCTGGTCCTTTAAAGGAATAGTTCGCCCCCGAAAAATGGAAATTTGCTGTCAATTTACTTACCCTCAGACCATCTAACATGTAGTTTTTTTATATATATATATATATAAAACAAATTTTGAGAAATTAAGCATCACTTGCTTACCAATGGATCCTTTTCAATGACTGGGTGCCATCAGAATGAGAGTCCAAATAGCTGATAAAAAAAATCATAACAATCAGCACAACTTGTGATGTGAAATCACGTCTTGTGATGTGACAAGCTGCGTTTGAAAGAAACAAATACAATGTTTTTCCAATCCAACGAATTTTAACTGTCACTTCTGGCCAAAATACCAGTTCATAATCCATAATAAGGCTTTCTCCAGTGGAAAGTCCTCTCACATCCAAATCCACTGACATATATGTTTAGAACTGTTTTTGCTTGTAAACAGTGCTTGATCTTTGTGTTCTCTCTTGATTCTAACAGGACAAATTTATTGCTAAAGCATTGCTATGGATAGAGGACTTGTATTTTAGCCAGAAGCAACGGTTTGAAGTTTAAAATGTCTTGATTATGAGTGTGTTTATTACAAACACGCAGCTTTTCGCTTCACAAGACATGAACTGATGAACTGGAGTTGTGTGGATTATTTTGATGTTTTTATCAGCTGTTTGAACTCTCATTCTGATGGCACCCATTCACTGCAGAGGATCCGTTGGTGGTGAGTAAGGTTTAGCAATGCAAAATTTCTCCAAATCTGTTCAGATGAGGAAACAACCTCATTTACATCTTGAATGGCCTTAAGGTGAGTCGGTTTTCAGCAAATTTTCATTTTTGGGGCGAACTGTCCCTTTAAAGTTCATTTATCACCCAAATGCAGTTATAGAAATTCTCCATATATTCTGTAAGACTAAAACTGTCCCTTGTGTGATTGATCATTCAGCTGAGTTCCCTCACCTTCATAATGTCTTGCATCAACAGCTTGTAAGTCTCTTTAATCAACAGCTGCTCTGGGATTTCCGGAATCTGGAGTTTTTATAGACTCATTGAAAGAAAATCATTCTGCGTTGTTTTAGAAGCACTGATTCTGTACGAAGGATACTTGTCGAATACTAATATAAACAAAGGATTATTGCATATTTTGTGTACAGTATATACATGGCCACATGATGAAAAGAAGATGAGAAATAAGACCACAAGAAAGACCGGCAAAAAGAAATACAGAGTTGTTTATGAGGGCCCTGTGGGGAATGTCAGCTGAGAGGGTAAATTAGGGGCAACAGCTGCTGGTGTCACTTCTACAGCTTGTTTGTACCATCTCATGTTACTGTTTAAGCTCACAAGACAGGACACTTGCCCTCTTACATACATTTAGGATCATTAAACCTCTAATAAAAGCGATGGCAGATCTGTTCTCAGATCAGTATATCAAGCCAGCTTGCACTCTCAGCACAGCAGAGCATTGGAGAGAATTATTGCAAGATAAGCTATTTGATAGCATGCGGAGTATTCATCATCCCCCTGGAACTATAAATCATATCTTCTCACTTCCAGTGCTTAGTCTGCAGTGCGCATTCCCATTCACCCAGATATGAAAATTCTGTTGTTTGCTCACCCTCATGTTGTTCCAAACCCATATGACATTCTTGCTTTTGTGGAACACAAAAAGGCAATATTTCACCTTTTGTAATCCTCAGATATAAAGTCATAAGGGTTTGGCTCCTCTTCTCTGTCCTGTCTAATCCCTCACTTGCGGCTCTGCTTCTTAAAGTGGATTAATTAGCTGTAGGAGAAACACCATATCCCTGGATTAAACAGTGTATTAATCTCACTGCCCACACACACTGAGCTGAGACTATTTTTTAATGCTATGACTTAGATGATGGTTGCATTGATAAAAGGTTCCTTTCTTATCATGCACAAACCTAAAGACTGAATTATGTTGTTATTAATGTGGTAAAGTTTCACTTCACATGGGTCAGAGATGCAGTAGGTGTACAAGATTTGCATTTGCTCAGGAAAGACCAACAATCCATTAGGATGACCACGTTTATATATTAATATATTTTATAAATATGGCTTTGGATCTGCCAAAATGCATTTACAACTATTTGTTCATCAAGCCCATTTTATTGAAATGTTTTTTGAAAGAAGTCTCTTTTGATGACCTAGGTTGAGCAAAAACAGTAATATTGTCAAATATGTTTACAATTTAAATGGTTTTGTTAAAATATTTATTTAGCAAGCTTTGTAATATCAGTCCCCCGCCCCAACTCAACCCCTTAACTGCAAGTTACTGCTACTGTTGATACGGTTCTGCAAGACCATCAAATCTTGTTAGGTACTATATGTAAGATGAA